CTTCCTTCCTTCCTTCCTTCCTTCCTTCCTTCCTTCCTTCCTTCCTTCCTTCCTTCCATGCAGTCTCCATATACCATAACCATCCATCCGTCATTCATGGGCAGAAAAGAACCTGCTGCCCTTGAAGCCCAGCCTTCTTAAAGCACACACGCAAAACACGTTTGGTGCTCAGCAGTCTTTATTAAGAAATCAGCACACGCCACGGACCCACGCTCCCTCTAAGCCGTGGAGTCTTGCGAGCAAAAATTCTACTTTGTGGGCTACTGGCATTAAAGTTGTGAGCGAGCGCTTTGGCGGCTGCATCAATCGATTTGTTCTGGAGCCCTCCTTCCTGAGCGAAGGTAAAAATGGGTGAGCCATTGGCTAAAAAACTGTGAGCTGGCTCACGCTGACTCAGCTTAGAGGGAACGCCGGCCATGGTTCACTTGGCGTCGCTTATTATGCTTCCGCCAGATTCAGTTGGGCGGCCGTGTTGGGCCTGAAGCGGCAGAACAAAGTTCGAGTCCAGTGCCACCTTGGAGACCAACAAAGTTTTATTCTGGGTACAAGCTTTTGTGTGAATGCACACTTCTAGTGCGCATGCACACACAAAGCTTACGTCCAGAATAAAATCTTTGTTGGCCTTAAAGGTGCCGCTGGACTCAAACTGTTTTACTTCTGCCCAGTGCTTTTTTTGTAGAAAAACCCAGCAGGAACTCATTAGCATAACAGACCATACCCAACAGCAGAAACTCATTAGCATATTAGGCCACACCCTGATAGCACGGCTCATTAGCATATTAGGCCACACCCCATGTTACCAGAAGTGTGGTCATTCAGCCTTTTGCTTCTTATTCTGTTTACCTTGTTTGTTGTCAAAACCCAGGGCCTTTTTTGGAGCAGGAACGCCTTTGCATGTTAGGCCACACACCCCTAATGTAGCCAATCCTAATGAGTTCCTGCTGTTGGGTGTGGCCTATTATGCTAATGAGTTCCTGCTGGGCGTGGCCGACTCGGGAGCCAGCCGGAACTCCATTCCTGTGCGTTCCTCCTCCAAAATAGCCCTGGTTCTGCCAGTCGTGCCAAAACTGAACTGTGTTGGGAGAGAAGTCACGCCTCCCTCCCGCAAAGCCTGCATCACCACCTCCACCCGGATTTCTGAGACGTCACGATGTGCTGCATGGAACACTGGCTGCTTCCCAATTGCTCGCTAAGGCCTGGTAGGGAAACAGAACCTGTTTCAGAAGCATAGTACTTCTCAATGCCGGAGATGTGGCCTTTCTCCACCCACGCACCCCAGTTGCATTTGTATCGCACCTTTCCCCAAGTATGGCGCTCGCGCCTCCGCTTGCATTGGTATTCCAGCGAGCTCCACGCAACTAGTGAAACTGAAATTCCACCGTACCATTAGACGCCGTGGAGAAAACCTGCAGTGTTCTGATGAAAGGAGCTTTTGACTCTCGCACGGGCATGCCTCCAAAATCTTGTTGGGTGTCTTAAGGTGCTCCTAAACTCGGATGTACCTGTGAACTTTGTCCCCTTCGCTGTGTTGCTGGTAGTTTAATGCTCTCGGGTGACTTTGTTTTCTCTGGTGAGCACCCTAGGAGTCCTCTCATTGGCCACTGCTGGAGTAGGCGGACCCTTGGTCTGACCCAGCAGATGGGGGTTCTCCAGGAGTACTGCTGGATCAGGCCATCGGTCCATCTAGTCCAGCATCCTGTTGCACCCAGTTCCTCTGAAGGGCCAACGACGGCATACAGGCTGAGGCCTTCCCCAGATTAACGAAAGAAGAGCCCTGCTGGATCAGACCAGGGGTCCATCTAGTCCAGCATCCTGTCTCACAGTGGTCCAGCAACAGGGCATACAGGCCGAGGCCTTCCCCAGATAATGAAAGAAGAGCCCTGCTGGATCAGACCTGTGGTCCATCTAGTCCAGCATCCTGTCTCACACAGTGGCCAACCAGTTCCTCTGGAGGGCCAACAGCAGGGCAGAGAGGCCGTGGCCTCCCCCTGATAAGAGCATCAGAAGAGCCCTGCTGGATCAGACCAGTGGTCCATCCAGTCCAGCATCCTGTCTCTCACAGTGGCCTCAACCAGTCCCTCTGGAGGTCCAGCAACAGGGCAGAGAGGCTGAACCCTTCCCCTGATAAGAACATCAGAAGAGCCCTGACAGATCAGACCAAATAGGCCATCTAGTCCAGCATCCTGTCTCATATAGTGGCCAACCAGTTCTTCTGGAGGGCCAACAAACAGGGCACAAGGTCCAATGCCTTCCCCCGGATATTGCCTCCTGGCACTAATCTTCAGAAATTTACTGCTTCCGAACGTGGAGAGTCTCACCCTGAATAGTAGCCGCCGATAGACCCTCTCCTCCGTGAATCGGTCCAATCCCCTTTTAAAGCCGTCCGTGCCTGTGGCCGTCGCCACATCCTCAGGCAGTGAATCCCGCATTTGAATCATTCTTGTAAAAAAAAGTATTTCCATCTGTCCGTCCTGGATCAAGTCATCAGCCTCACTGGACACCTTGCTCTAAACGTTGACACACCCATTTTTGTACCTGCCCATTGCCTGAAGGACCTGGAGACCCGTGTTTTTCTTTGCAGAGGGATTCAAGAGCCTTCTTGCCAGGTGCGGAGTTCTCCCCGGGCCCTCCCGGCCATCGCTCCAGGCAGCCTCACCTAGTGATGGCGGAAGGAAGGGCCGGGACAGTTTATCCCGACGTTAAGCCTAAATCCGCCGCCACCGCTTCTGGCCCCGCCGCCGGGTCTTGCCTCTTCCTTCCCGCCAGATCCTCCTGAATATTAAAACCGTCAGCCCGAGCCGGAGGAAAGAAGATTAAAACACCCCCTCTTTCTGCGAGGATTTGCCCTTCCGGACCCTCGATCGTCTTCGCAGCGCCGGCTTCTCCCATCTTTCTCAACTCTTCACCCGCTCCCTCTTTGGGGCGCTCCGATCTTGAGCGTTCCCCCCATCACCGCTTCCCGGCCTGCTGCGAAAGGGTGCCGGCTGCTGGAACAGCCGCGTGGGAGTCAAAATCTCCGCTAATTCAGGCTCCTGCGTGTGTCTCTCTCGCCAGGCCTCTTCAGCACACACCCGTGGTCCGTGTTTCAAAAAAAAAAAAAATGTGGGTCGCCTGTGGGGCACGCAGAAGGCGAGGAGTTCGCCTGGCGCGTTCCCAACTCTGTCGGAGACGGCTCTGGGTACGTTTTGGCGGCATCTACCAGCTGCCACCTTGGCGCTGCCTGCTTTATCATTTCGGCGGGCAAGGAAACGCCGCTGAGATTTCGTCCGCCCGGCTGAGCAACATCTGTCTCCTGTCTCCAGGGGCCTCGCTCCCCCCCCCGACCGTATCCTAACCCGCGGGAGGGGGTGCAAAGAGCCCAGTTGCGGCCCGCCTCCCACCTGTGATTCAGTTTGACGTGATTCAAAATGGGGCCGCGGCGCACAGCCCGTCAGTTGCCGCCTGAGAGCGATCGCCGCACTCCCACCGTTCCTGGTGGCCACAGTGTGCCAAGGTTCTCTGCTGCACAGATTAATCCCATAAAGCCATGCGACAGAGGTGCATTCCCAGCCCCATAGCCAGACATTTTGCCGGGGGGGGGCATGAGGATTTTTTGTGGGGCGTGCCTCACATTTGAGGGGGCGGAGCCCTGAAATGCCCCGCTGTGGCTATGAGCCTGTGCATTCCCCCTTGCGGAAGGCGCTGGGTGGAAGGAGTTGGCACACCGGGGCTCATCAGAGACACAGCAGGCAGCCTCCTCCGCAAAGGCTTTCGGCCTACACTTCCCACAGCGTGCAGTTTAGGGATTGCTGTCCTGTCAGCAGGGGTCATTTCGTAGAAAAAGAGGTTCAGGAGCTCATTAGCGTAATGTATTAGCATAACTCATTTGCATATGCCACACCCCCTGACATCACCGGAAGTGTGTCAGAAGGCAATGCCCACTGCTCAGGCTCCACTGGACTGTTTTGGATTGCTAGCTATTGGTGTGTGTGTGTGTGGGGGTGTGCAGATCTGTCCTCACAGAGGAGGGAGAGCTTGTACCTGAAGACGGGGGGGGGGGGGCGCTGGGACTCACTGGCCTCGTTTGGACCTGGGGGGGGGGAGCTCTGCAACTTACCTGGCTGCTGCTTGATCTGACCGAGGGCTGCAGGGGGCGGGGCTTGTTGCATGTGCCCGCCCCCTGGGCTCTTTACTGCTGGAGCTCTGGCTCCTGTGCGCTTCTGCAGGAAATGGCCCCTGGCTGTCAGTCAGAACGGAGTTCATGCTGGTCTCTGTTTAGTGGGGAGGTGCTAGACATCTCCTGGGCTCCATCCTGTATTCTACAGTCTAGGTTTGGGTGGCGGGGGGGGACACGCTGGATCTGATTACATGACCGAACCAGTATATTCTATGTATTTATTTAATTCATGTATGCCCCATTTTCTCCCAGTGGGAACCCAAGAATGAGAGCCAGTTTGGATTTAGTGGTTAAGAGCGTGGACTCTAGTCTGGGAGAACCGGGTTTGGTTCCCCACTCCTCCACTTGCACCTGCTGGATGACCTTGGGCAAGCCATAGTTCTGATAACAGCCATCCTTGAAAAAGCAGTTTCTGTCAGAGCTCTCTCGGCCCCAGCTACCTCATACGGTGTCTGTTGTGGGGAGGGGAAGGGAAAGGAGT